AAAAATTGGCTCAGAAACACTAACAAAGGATTCAAGTTGTTGACCCAGCCTCTAAACTCCCCAATTCCCAATCTGATCAAGCATGTGTAGGATGTAACTTATCTGTCTAAAACAGGAGTGTCAAACATAAGGGCTTGGAGGCAAAATCATCCCCAGCAAAGACATCCAGTGTGGCCTGGTGGACGACTTTGGAAAAGCATACATTTTTGGACTCTATTTTTAGAATTTGTACAGCTTTTTGTACTGATAAAGACCTATCCAAAGCCATTCATACTACATACCAAAGGAGCTAAGTAATAGATAAAAAATTTAATGAGAGCAACGTTCCTGTTTTTCATTGTCTACAATAGAAATTTGGTTTAAAAAAAAAAAAATAAAGTCATCAATAAACAAAAACTTTTTTATAAATATGAGAAACTCTGGGCAGTGAGCTATCTGAACCTTCTCTGCAATTTCACACATGCAAATTGTAAAACTACACATTTAATTACAATACATGTGTAAAAAAAAACACACTTGTAATAACAAATTGTAATTTACTTGTGAAGAAAAACTGAGATGTGCTGCTGAAATTGCACTTTCTCATTTTATGTTAAGATATCTCAAGGATTAAATGAGTATATAAATATCTTTACACTGACAGAAAGTGGAGTTTTGCTCATCTAGCCCACTTAAAATCAAAATGGATTACATGTGGCACAAAATGTAAAATAAATTCGACATCCCAGATCTGTTCTGAAGGCGCCCCCTTCCCTTTCCTTAAGTGATCCAGTGTTCACTCCCTGACAAGCCAGAGCTGTTTTGCCATGACAAAAGAAGCCCACATAATATTGGGCAAGTGGTTTTAATGTTGTGCCTGATCAGCATCTCCACACCAAACCCAGCTGGAAGATCCCTGTGATCCTGCACCATGCTGTGAGTGACTAAGCCAAAGTTTTATGGGGAGGGTAAATTTAAAAGAGCCTGACAAGTACAGTCAATCAATTTATGTCTCACTTTATGTTTCTGTCATCACCTTCACAAACATCACTTTGTGTGTGTGTGTGTGCATAAATGAAATATTCTGTCATTTTTAACAGCTCAGACATTCATCTTATGCCTCAAAAGACCTGCCATTAAAGAAGAACCGCATGTGTATGTGTGCCTTAATGTCTTTGCACATGTGCTGACGTTCATGTGTGTCTGAGCGATAAGGCTTAGCTGCGGTATCTAAATCTCAGCGCTCAAAGGTCTCCTTCATCTCAAGCAGGGCTCTGCAGGTATGTGACTCCACCCTCCCCCATCTCTCTCACCCCTCTCTCAACCATCCCCCCCACGGCTAAGCCTTCACCAACAAGGCCGGTATTGTAGCAAGGGTAAAATGATAGCGCTCAGAGACAGATTCAGCTATGTGCTTACCCAGACAACCCTTACCCCCTTTCTCCACCTCCCCGCCCACACTCCCCTATCCCTTCACCTCGGTGAGGCTGCATTCATCCATTCATTTCTTTCTGTGTGACAAAAAAAAGGGGACAGTGATAGAAAGAGAGGCGCAAAGGTTGTTTTATTTGATTTAATTGAATGCAGAGGGGCACTGAGGTTAAAGAGGACAAAGTAAGTCACACAGAGCAAGACAGAAATGTCACAGAGAACACTAATTATTCACATATAAAAGATGATCTTGTTGCATGGTGACATGTCTATTATTTGGAAAATAAAGAGACTGCAGTGACATTTTTTGTTGAGCAGATATTTAAACTTTAAAATGCTCACATTGAGACTGTCTCCTTTCTTTTGATTTGGAGTCTCGGATCTTGCGATAAGCGGATACACTGAAATATGATATTTTGATTTAACTCTTTTATACTTGTCTGTATGTCTGTGATGCAGGTTTGTGTCAGGGCTCATTCGTGTCAACATCTGTGTTTAATGTTACTTATTGAGTGTCATTTTTTTTTCTATTTGAAACTATTTGAACTATATCGATGTATACATTTAAGACAGAAAAATATTCATTGACAGTGGGTACTAGTCTCTCTCACGCCCTTGTGTTTGTGCAAGTCCTACCTTGTGTGTGTGTGTCTGGTTCACTGTTTCGCGGACTGCTGCGGAGCCGTCTCTCTGGCTTCTTCCCTCCTGGACTGCCAACTCCACCACCAGACCCCGCTGACCCGAGCGTTGGGCCGTGTGATTTGTTGCTGCATCCCG